TAAAATTTTGATCCTATACCCGTTTTATTTAATATTTCGTAGTTATTTCCAATACTGTATGTATGTATATACATATATAGATTCTAAAACGATTCGAAATACCTACTGAAAACATTTCCTTATGCTTGCTTGAATACCCAACACTACTCCCACCACTGTAAACACAGTGTATTTTGGACTGCTGTACTTTGTATTGTTTGAAAACATTGAAATCTATACCATACACTGAGCGTCAGTATTTCTGATCTAAACGTTGGACCGAGACTTTATACTTTTTTTAATGTTTGATAGTAGATATTAAATACGCGTATTTTTGGTTCTACTATTAACTAATTTGTTCATATTTTTATATTTAAAAGTCTTTTCGTTTGAAACTTTTAATACGTAATTAAACTGTAATTAGTTTGTCTGTTTTGATGAATTTTATCTATGAACAATCAACGATACAAAACATACTTTGTTCATTGAAAAGTGCCCAGTATCTCCAGCGACCGTTAATTTTTTAATTAAATACTCTCTAAAAAAACTTCCTCAAACTAAAAACAAAATTCTGTTTCTAGTTATCTTTATAAACAGATCTGATTATGGTGTCTACCTTGACCTGTTGATTTGATGAACTCTTTACTGAGCAGAAATCATTTAGATAGATTTGATGTTTTTACAATAACGTTTCAGAAAACAATCAGATGTGAGGTTAAGACATGATCATCACTACCTACATCTACATTTCCTCTCAGATGGTAAATAATCTAGTCTTACAGGATTAGGAAGATTAATGACCTTCACGTAGTAAACATATTTCAATAAACTTGCTCATTACTACTAAACAAGCACTTTATTTAAAAAACGTTTGCCCTAATTTTTCCCTAACATATTTTTGAAAAACAACTAAATTTTCATCTAAATATCCCTAAATTTTTCCTTGAAATATTTTTATCTGGCGGAAAAGTTTGACTATCTGTTACATTTTACATTTGCTTTTATAACATAAGGAAAGATTAATTACTTAGTATTCTCATTGTATTTGTATTTTGACAACAATGTGGTATCTCTCTAATTTGAGATTTCTATCGAGATCACAAACAGCAATAAACCATTGTTACATGAACGTGCAAGAAAGTGGCTTTTAACTACTAAGAAAGAAAATAAAAATAAATATACGTGTTTATAAACAAGAGCCAGTTCCTTTTCATATCTTACCGGTGAAAATACAAAAAAGATGGATTTTTGCAAAGTTTCCTTTTCATAACCATGAGGGAGATATGGTAGGAACACGCTTTTTTTATGTTATGCAAAACATTCGAGACGTAAAAGATACTTAATTAGTTAAATACAATAAAAGACAATAGGTTGTATTCATTGAGTTTCTAGTAAGTTGAAGTCACTTAAACTTGGGATTTGAAATAACGTTTATAATGCCTGATAATACAGGCCTGTGATGGCTTTATTGTCTTGAAATTTTTACATGTTCTACAGTAATTC